CAGCGATAATTGATCTCCACAGAAAGCTGTTAATTTGGTATGCTTTAACTAAGTGTTCGAAATCGTGTGTTGTTGACTGTGAGTCAAATGGCATTGCTGTGTTGCAAAAACTTCAGTTTAAAGCGCTCAGATAATGTTTCTCGATTTCGATTTATCCGGCTTACAGCCACCATATGTCCAGGCCCTAATATCTAGAGAAAATGGAAAAGTTAAAACGATATCTTAGTGTCACGATTTTGCCAGTGATTAACATTACCTAGTCGGTTACCATGAATGTAGTTGAATGCTATGGGAGATTGTCTGTACGATGCCTTTTCAGCTGAATAAGAATACCGGCGCCACAGAAGACTACGGGACACAGCTGACTAATACCTCATTTAATTTCTGCAATGCAAGGCAAAACCCTCTTGCAAACATAACTCTGTACGGTTCTAATCGCGTTGGAAACCGAAAGCACATAGTAACGAAACGCCTTGTCTTATCGGAAAATAAGCCATGTTGGCATTGTCTCCCTCAATAAAATCTCTTGCAGGAATACTTCCGTTTCTTCTGGCAATTTTCTGCGCAGGAACTAAGAGGCATTCGTGGTTCGTTCTAATTTTAATGTTACTCTATGAAAAGTCTGTGTGAATGAGTTTGAAACTATGGTATGACACTTTAGTCGTATGCTATCCTTAACATTTACCACAGTTTGATATACGATGATCATACTAGGCTGATGAAATATTATGATTTAGCGCGATGTTCAATCTTCTTCACATTTTCGGCGTTGTATTCACCTGAACCGACTGGACTCGGCGACGAATCGCGCCGCAACACTTTATCATAGTACATGAAGTGTGTTACTCGCTGGCAGGACTGAAGATTGCTTAACTCTATAATAAATATTTATGATAAGTAATAACACTTTATTCCCTTTCTCCGGGGCCCATACTACGATCTGCGTTGTGCAGAAGAGGCACTATGGCGCTCGCAAATGCAAACTGACTGTGTATTTAGTCTTGGATGGGCGCTGCACCAGGTAATATTTTGCGTAATGGTACACTGACAAAGAGGTCAGCTTCGAACTCACCGGGTTCGAATCCGGAGAAAGAACGTTCTACGTCTTAACCGTGATTTCCTTGAGCAGGAAAAATATTCCTCGGCGTTTCAGTCGAACAAACCGTGAGATACGAGTAGCAGGCTTTTGCCTTGCGAACAGCTGGGGCAGGTTGGTGTTCTGGTCTACTCATATCAGAATGAACAGTGTATAACCGTGCTGTCCGATGTGGGCACCTTTTCTGCTTTCACTTCGCCATGACCTGAATTATAGCTGACTATCGAAGCACGATGATCAGCACAAGGTGTAATGCCGAAAAAATATGCTTTTGCGTAGGAGCATATTTGATGTATATATAGTCTCATATAAAAACTATTTGCTGCTGAAACATCATGGTGATGAGCGTCAGGTTGATTTAACAGATTACATCAAACGGGATACATTCATTATTGCATGGGCTGAGGGACAAAACTGCAAAGAACAAAAGGGGGCCATTGTAAATTAGCGCTCGAAAGCTCGATCTCTTTGGCCGATAGAAAGGATCGACACTAAATTGTTTATCGTTGAATCGATGTACATCTGGCGGATATAAAGCAGAATGTCAAAACTGGGCAGCATTTTATTTGCCATCAACGACTATTGTGTTTAGTTAATAGCCATTTATATAGCCGATGCTTGACGCTATCTGCCTGAACATTATTTGCGGCTTTCATTTTTATAATAATTGTCATTAATTTTAATCACGTGAACGTATTATCCTCAAGAAAATTGGACCATTGATCATAAAGCCTCATTTTTTTCATGTAGCAAGGATTTCGAAACAAGGTTATGTTGTGTATTGAAGGTTTCTACGATTGATCGCTGGCAATTATTAAGGTATGTGCAGCACATCTCTTTTTGTTGCATACAACCGCAGAAGTGTCACAGCGCTCTGTCGTATGCTGTTAATACCGACTCATAAGATTGCGTTGTGAT